AATATGACAATGCTGTGTGTGTGTGTTTGTGTGTGTGTGTGTGTGCGCGCAGGTGTGTGTGTGTGTGTGTGTGTGTGCGGGTGTGTGTGTGTGCTTTTTCAAATATGACAATGCTGTGCTGTACCATAGCATGCAGATGAGGAATGTATTCACTATAGGGTTCCCCCGGTTATTCTGTGTATCTCTGGTAAAGAACCCCTGGGCTGGGCTGGGGGTATAACTCTATGGTAGAGGTCTTGGCTAGCATACATGAGGCTCTGGATTTAATCCCAGTTACAGCTAAAATAAAATAAATAAAAAATACCTTTACTTTGAAATAATTCCATCCATTATTCAAGCAGAACTTATCTTTTGGAAGATGAAACCTGTAGGAGCATGTGATTTAGGATAGAACCATTACAGAATCCATCAGATTGATTTCAAACTCATACTCAAGGTTGAGTTGTGAAAAAAGATGCAGGTAAATGGCTCTTTCCCTGCTTCCCCCAAAAGACTAATGACATTTCAAGAATTTATTTACAACTGGAGATTGCTGAGCGATGACTATAATCATACTAGAAGCATCATTGTGAAGACATCATAATGCAAGGTCAAAGCATGAGAAGTTTAATTCCAGTCAGCCACCTTAATACCAGTTCCTGCTACTACTATGTTTGAATTAGTCTTGAGATTTTAACTAGCAACTGCTTACTAAAGTTTCTAGGAAGAAGACTTGCCCACTTTTGTAGTGTGATGATAAAAGCAAGTAATGATTGTTTTACCTCTGCACAATATTGCTTGAAATAATAAAGCATGGTGTCTCCAGTTTTATACCTTAAAAATCCTGTTAGTGACAAAGTTGACACTAGGTTCTGGACATTAAAGTGAATTACATACAGCTCGTTTTCCAGAGATATTGCTTAGAATAACTAAGCTTTAAGATGCTATTTAGATTGACATGGAAGAATATAAAGCCCTTTCTCCTCCTACCACATCTACACAACAGAATCATATTAAAGCTTAACATGAATACCATGTCATCCAGAAGCTCCTTGCCTGCTGGAAATAATTTCTATTTGTTATGCCATTTTGTTTATAATGCTAACTAAGAAACTATATAAGCTCCTTTCCTAGAGCTGCTGTACCAAAGTACCACAAACTGGGATCTTAAAGCACCAGAGATTTATTGTCTTACAGTTCTTGGAGCTAGAAATCCTAAATAAAGGTGTTGGCAAAGCTGTTCTTCCTCTGAAACCTGTAGGGAGGATTTGTCCTTGCTTCTTCCTAGCTTTTGGTGGTGGCTATCAGTCCTGGGCATTCCTTGGCTTGCAGTTGCATCATTCCATTATCACCTGGCATCCTCTTCCCTGTGTCTATCTCTGCATCTCTATTAGTACTGGATTAAAGGTCTACCCTATTCCAATATAACGTCACCTTAACTAGCTACATTGATAATGTTTCTATTTCCAAATAAGGTCATATTCTGAATTATGAGGAGTTTGAACTTCCAGAGACATTTTGGGGACATAGAACACAAATTTAGTTTTAATTTTAATCGAAATGAATCACCTTGCCTCCTACTTTGTAAGGTTCTTGAAGGCGGAGTATTTTTTACATATCCCATTTCCCCTGCAGTGTCATGCAAGTAGGAAATATTTAGTAAGTAATTGAATAGACATTTGAAGGTTTTTGTTATCTAGATGTTATTCCCGACTTTTGGAATCACCAGCCAAATCACACTACTTTCTGATTCCAAAATTACCACTGGGTGTCTAAAAAGGTTTTGATTTTTAAATGGAATCTATAAAATATTTCTGATCTATTTCCTTGTCCTAAAGTCATTCCAGTGAAGATATATTTTGGGGGAGGTGGTAACATTTTCATTCTTTTGGGAATGTTTCTATCTTTAGTGTCTACAGACATGAGTTATTCAATGTTCTTTTTCTTAATATATATTTTTTTAGTTGTCGATGGACCTTTATTTTATTTATTTATATGTGGTGCTGAGAATAGAACCCAGGGCCTCACACGTGCTAGGCAAGCACTCTACCACAGATCCACAACCCCAGCCCCTTCAATGTTCATTTGCTATAAGCTAACATTTAAACCCCTTTCTTTTCCATGTTGGGCCAGTGATTTAACTCCATCTCTGCTACTGATTGTAACAAAAGGGAATCATTAGGCAGAGCCATTATGTAAGCAGAATTACATTGTCTGACAGTCACTCTGGCCATGGTGAGAAGAATGGATTGGAGGAAATAAAGTCTAGAAGAAGGGAGGCCAGTTGAGAGGCTGCTGTAGTCATATAAGTACAGGTTGATCATGGCCTGAAAAAGGATGGTGGAGGTGAAGGTGACTGAAAAGAAAAGGCTGCTTCAGATCAGCTTTGGTGCACCACTATGCCCCAAAACAGCAATGGCAGATAAAATGGAACACCTAAAAGACAAATGGAGATTCTGTCCTGCATTCCCAACCTCTGTCCTCTCCATCCCCCAACAAAGGAAATAAAATATTGTGCTGATCCATCTCTAGGATTGTGGCTTTCAGTGAAGACTGAAGGACTACAGACCCTAACCCAAGAGGGCCAAGCTGTCAGCTGTTCTGGTGACTAAGCTCTGATTTTGCCATTATAACCACCAGCCAGGAACCTCTAAATACCATTTTAAGTTCTAGTTCTGTACTAAGGAATAATAAGGACAAGTAGAGGCAATTATGAAGCCTTATGGAGGGCTTTTTGAAACCATGTAGATACAGATATGGAAAAAACAGAGAAGAAAAAACAAATTTACAAATTTTAAAAATTAAACTATAGTTCCAAAACACATGAAGAAACCCAATACTAAGGACACAAATAGGGGCCAGGGTTGTGGCTCGGGGATAGAGGGCTCGCCAGCGAGGCACTGGATTCGATCCTCAGCATCACATAAAAATAAATAAAATAAAGGCATTGTGTCCAACTACAATTAAAAATTTATTTTTTTAAAAAAGGATGCAAATAAAAATCAACAATCAGAACTTGAATCCACATGACACAGAATTAATTACAGGAAGTAGCCTAACAAAGACTTTTACAAACAGTATTTGGTATGCGTACTCAAAGAGGTAAGTGAAGAAATAACTTCTATCTAAAAACATGAAAATTTGAAAATAATAGACAAAAAAAAATGGAAAAAAGAACAGGTGTGGGCTGGGGTAGAACACTTGCCTAGCAAGTGTGAGGCACTGAGTTCAATATTCAGCACCACATAAAAATAAATATATTGTGTCCACCTACAACTAAAAAAAATTTTTAAAAATTAAGAACAGGTGAATTTGAAAAATGACCATTTGGAAAACTCAAAAATTAGGGTGTAGCTCAGTGGTAGGGCCTAACATGTATGAGACTCTGGGACCTAAGGTTAATCCTCAGCACTACCTGATCCCTATTCTCTGACCTTCCTCTTTTTTTTTTTTTTAATTAGGATTTTTTAATTTGTTCTTTTTAGATATAATGACAGTGGAATGTATTTTCACATATTATACATACATGGAGTATAACTTATTCTAATTATGATCCCAGTCTTGTGGGCTGATCTTTCTCTTATGTAAATCAAAAGACCCTCACTTAAGACGTGCCCCTGATGGGCTGGGCACAGTGGTGCACACCTGTAATTTTAGTGACTCCAGAGGTTTAGGTGGAAGGGTTTCAAATTGGAGGCCAGCCTCAGCAACTTAGTGAGCCCCTAAGCAATTTCATGAGATTCTATGGCAAGATAAAAAGTAAAAAGGGCTGGGGAAGCATATCAATACTAAAGCACTCTAGGGTTCAATCCCCAGTATAAAAATGATTTTTAAAATTCTAAAAGAGGTGCTGGGAGGAAAGGAACATTCTTATCCCAAAAGACACAGAAATGCTGAGAAGAATTGAAATATACAGGCCTTGTAAGTTTCCTCCAGTTTATTCCATTAGATCATATCCTTTGCCTTCCAGTCACACCATTGCATGACTGTCCATAAAAACATATTGCTTTCCCTATTTCTTTGGGTCTTTGTTTCTGAAGGCTGTCACATAAAGCATAATAGTAAGTAAATTTGTAGGCTTTTTTTTCTTGTTAATCTGTCTTACTATAGGTACCTTAATGAGGAAATTTGCAATGGGTGAGAAATCTTTTCTCCCCTACACTACCTACAATAAAAACATTCTGTGTCTTGCTTTAGGACCAAATGAGTACTAACTCATTTGTGGAAATGCTATCAACTTGAAAGGCAAGCTGAGGTACACTGAGAATGAGAACAAAGAGTTTTTCTGAGTCAATATGAAGATGATTACCCCAGGGAGGGTGGGGGGTAGGGG